ACTGAGAACCCTGTGTGCTTCCTGGCTGTGAGCAGGGGCCACCCCCAGGGGCCACCTGAAACCTCAAGGCAGGCATAACACATCACATTTTTCTCACGCGTCTCATCTAAGCCTCTGTTCTCCAGCCAGATGGAGGAAGCTCTGCTTCCCAGGGCTTGTGTGGTTAGATCAGGCTCACCCAGACACCCTCCCTTTTCACCTCACTGACTTGGGACTTGGACATCTGCAAGTCTCTTCACTGCAGTACCAGATGAATGTCTGAAAGAGTAACTGGAAGAAGGGGTGTGTATATTAGGGGCCAGGAATCTAAGAGGCCATCTCGGAAATCTGCCCTCCACACCCAGGCCAGGTAACAGGAATCCAAAACTACTGCCACTGCTCAGGGCACCATGAACTGCGCCCATGTAAGAGGCTGAACTGATCAATGTGTGTGTTCTACATCCACCACTGACCAGCTGTTCCCATCTCTCTCCCTTTCCTCGGGCCTCCCTCTTCCCTGGGCACAATATCGAGACTAGGCTAATTAGTCACCTTATCACAGCCTCTACGTGCTCACATGAAAGGTGGAATCCCACGTCTCTCACTTTAAACCAAAAACTAGAGATGATTAAGCTTAGTGAGGAAGGGATCTCTAAAACCCAGTCAGAAAGCCGGGCCTCCCGCACCAAACAGTCAAGGAGGAATGCAAAGGAAAAGCCACCGAAGGAAATCAAAGCAGCTACTCGAGTGAAGACACAAATGACAAGGTAGTAAGACAGCCTCATCGCTGACGTGGAGGGAGTCTGAGTCGTCTGAAGAGACTGAAACAACGTTCCCTGACGATTGGTGTGACTGGCAACCAAAGCTGAATCCACAGCAGCAAGGTCCTAATCGTCCTCAGTTCTATGAAAGCTAAGACAGGTGAGGGAAGCTGCAGAAGAAAAGCAGAAAGCCAGCAGAGGTTGGTTCATGAGGTTTAAGGAAAGAAGCCACTTCCACACATAAAAGTGGAAGGTGGAGCCACAAAAGCCGTGGGAGAAACTGCAGCAAGCTCTCCAGATGCAGCTAGGATTGTTGACTAATAAAAAGATTTTCAATGTAGATGAAACAGCTTTCTATTGGAAGAAGATGGCATCTAGGACTGTTGCAGCTAGACAGAAGTCAATGTCTGGCTTCAAAGACTAAAAGGACAGACTGACTCTCTTGTTAGGGGCTAATGCAGCTGGTGACGTGAAACAAATGCTCATTTCCCATTCCAAAAATTCTAGGACCCTGAAGAATGATGCTAAATCTACTCTGTTATCGAAATGGAATGGCAAGGCCTGGATGATGGCGCATCTGTTTACAGCATGGTTTACTGAGTATTTTAGGCCCACTGATGAGAACTACTGCTCAGAAAAAAGACTCCATCCAAAACACTACGCGTTGACAGTGCTCCTGGTCACCCGAGAGCTCTGATGGAGACACACGGGGAGGCTGATGTTCTGCCTGTGCCAACACAATATGCATTCCGCAGCCCATGGGTTGGGAGTTATTCCAACTTCCAAGTCTTATTATTTAAGAAAAATGTTTCACAAGGCTGTAGTTCCATAGATGATGATTCCTCTGATGGATCTGGGCAAAGTCAGTTGAAAACCTTCTAGAAAGAAGTCATCATTATAGATGCCATGAAGTACATTCATGATTGATGGGAGGAAGTCAAAATATCAACATTTTATATTTTGGAAAAACTCGGTTCTAGCCCTCAAGGATCTTTGAGGGGTTTGAGACTTTAGTGGAGAAAGCTACTGCAGATGTGGTGAAAACATCAAGAGAACTGGATTTAGAAGTGTAGCCTAAAGGTGTGACTGAACGCTTCAATCTCATGATCAAACGTGAATGGATGAGGTGTTTCTGCTTTTTCTTTTTTTTTTGATACGGAGTTTCATTCTCGTTCCCCACGCTGGAGTACAGTGGCACAACCTCCGCTCACTGCAACCTCTGCCTCCTGGGTTTAAATGATTCTCCTACCTCAGCCTCCTGAGTAGCCGAGATTACAAGCGCCCACTACCACACCCGGCTAATTTTTGTATTTTTTAGTAGAGACGGGGGTTTCACTAGGTTGGCCAGGCTGGTCTCAAACTCCTGACCTCAGATGATCCACCCACCTTAGCCTCCCAAAATGCTGGGATTACAGGCATGAGCCACTGTGCCTGGCTGAGGTGTTGCTTCTAAGAGATCAGCAAAGCAAGTAGTTTCTAGAGATGGAATCTGCTCCTGATGAAGATGCTGTGAACACTGTTGAAATGACAACAAAAGATTCTGAAGATTCCATAAACTTGGTTAATAAAACACAGGCAGGGTTTGAGAGGCTTGACTCCAATTCTGAAAGAAGTTCTACTGTGGGTAAAATACTACCAAACAGCTTTGCATGCTACAGAGAAATATGTTGTGAAAGCAAGATTCCATTGATGCAGCAAACTTTATTGTCCCATTTTAAGAAACTACCAGTCACACCAAACTTCAGCAACCACCACCCTCATCAGACACCAGCCAGCAAGAGAGGCAAGAGCCTCCACCAGCAAAATGATTACAGCTTGCTTAAGGCTCAGATGATCATTTTTTTTTAGCAATAAAGTATCTTTAAATTAAGGCATTTACATTTTTTTTAAGACATAATGCTACTGCATACTTAATACTGACCGCAGTGTAGCTTAACCAGAACTTTTATACACACTGGGAAACAAAAACACCCCTGCGACTTGGTTATTGTGCTATTCGTTTGTGTAGTGTCTGGACCCAAACCTGCAATATCTCCTAGGTTTGCCTGCATGTCCCATGTGTGGGATGAAAGGTCCAGAGGACACATGGGTAACCGCTGTGGTTCCCCAGCATTCCTGTTTCCTTCTTCCTTTAATGTTAGAAGCCCCGTCAAATTACTAATGAATGCCCCACAAATGACATTTCCTAGTGTCCCCTCAAGTCAGGTGACTTTGTGACCAAGATGAGAGGAGAAGGGAAGTGATGCGGGCGGGCCGTCCACTCTCCTCTCCCCACAGTGCTGAAGAGGCAGGGCAGCCAGAGTCCCTGGAGGCCAGCCCCACCTGTGAGAGAATAAGAGAACTCAAGTTTCTTATTTGAAACACGGTATTATGAATCTGTGACAGCAATTTTAACCTACGTCTTAAATAATGCTAATACACAACCCAAATATTCAGATTCAGTTCTCTCTCTCTCTTTTTTTTTTTTTTGAGACGGAGTTTCGCTCTTGTTATCCAGGCTGGAGTGCAATGGCGCGATCTCGGCTCACCACAACCTCCGCCTCCTGGGTTCAGGCAATTCTCCTGCCTCAGCCTCCTGAGTAGCTGGGATTACAGGCATGTGCCACCATGCCCAGCTAATTTTTTGTAGTTTTAGTAGAGACGGGGTTTCACCATGTTGACCAGGATGGTCTCGATCTCTTGACCTCGTGATCCACCCGCCTCGGCCTCCCAAAGTGCTGGGATTACAGGCTTGAGCCACCGCGCCCGGCCAGATTCAATTCTCTTCATGATAAAAAAAAATTCAAACTGGGCCAGGCGTGGTGGTTCCTGTTGTACACATATAATTTGCTGCATAAAATATCACCTGAAAAAAAAAATCACCACCTGAGGCCACGGGCAATGGCTCACGCCTGTAATCCCAGCACTCTGGGAAAAGGAGGCGGGTGGATGATGAGGTCAGGAGTTTGAGACCAGCCTGGCCAATATAGTGAAACCCACCTCTACCAAAAATACAAAAATTAGCCGGACGTGGTGGTGCGCACCTGTAGTCCCAGCTACTGGGGAGGCTGAGACAGAAGCTTGAACTCGGGAGGTGGAGGTTGCAGTGAGCCGAGATCGTGCCACTGCACTCCAGCCTGGGCGACAGAGGAAGACTCCTTCTCAAAACAAAAGCAAACAAAATCACCTGAAATTGTCTCAACTGCACATGTTGTGTAGCATCAGCAGCCGCAGCAGTGGCTCTGGGGTGTCTAGGGGCATCCCATTCGGCACTAGAAGCCCCCAGCTCTTAACCCACACTGGTAAGGGGATATTCCAGCCTCGAGCTCCCAGCCAGGGTCACTGTGTGTCGCTTACAGCCTAAAGAAATAAACAGGAGGATACACCAAGCTTCACCCTCAGTAATAACAGAAAAAGCAGAGCCAGAGGGCAACCGAGTGGGACATGGACCAGAGACCCACCAACATCCAGCCTCCTTGCCCCGCGCCATCACCAAGGGGCCTGCTGTGCGCCACACGCTAGGGAGGAAGGGCTTGTCTTCCTAGTGCTCCCCACGATGCCCTGGAGGTTCAGGGAGCTAACAAACTTAAGGCCAGAGAACTGGAGCCAGCTGCCCCTGCCCCCACCAGGCCATTTGGCTTCTGCCCCCAGCATGCTGCTCAGGGCTCTGCCCAAAGGACAACAACGAGCCCCGTGTCCTCTGCCGGGCCATCTTCCACGACCGTGAGGCAGCGCCGACAAGCTCGGCAGCTCCCTGAGCTGCTTCCCACCAACTACCCCAGGCTGAGGCCCGCAACCAGGCGCTGCTCAGACCTTGAGAGTCCCTGGACCATGAAGCAGCCTGTGTGTGGAGGAGGCAAGACAGCCTTGACATCAGCACAGAGAACGCCCCTGGGATGCTTAAAGACTTAAAGGGGAAAGGGTGCCTTCAGGGAAAAGCAGGACCGCGCAGCCGCACCCCCTCTTCCCATCCGGGAATTCTCCTCCAGGCGCAAGTCCTGTACTTAACTCATGCTGCTCACCACGTTTCCCTCCCCACTCCTACCCCAGCAGCACAGAAGGCGCCGGCGCTGCCCCTCCTCCAGCACCGAGAGGCCTCGAGGCCCCCGGGAGCAGAGGCAAGGTTCAGGCACCGCCGCAGGAACGCCCACGCCAGTCCTGTGACACCCCAACCCCACGCAGGCCCGGCGGGCCCGAAGACTGCCGCACGGAAACTCGAGCCCGCGGCTCCACGGCCTGGGCTCAGGGCGGGGTGACGGGGCGCGAACCGGGGGTACCCACACGGCGCTCCGCAGGGAGAACACCCCAGGCTCGGGCCCGAGGATGCTCGCCGGAGAGACGCTGCAGCCTCGCGGGGGCGGCCATGGCTGCGTCGGGGAGACCGGCTCGCCGAGGCCCGGCTCCTGACGCCCTTGCGGGGCGGGCCGCGGCCTGCGGACCCCGCCCGGCCCCTGAGCCAGCCGGGGCTGCGGCTAGAGCGCTGCCCGCCCCCGACCGGAACGCGCCACTCACCCGGCGCGGGCGGGGAGAGGGCGGCGCGAGCCCGACCCCGCAGCCGCTAACGGGACCTCGCGGGCGCGGGCCCCGCAGACCCGCCGACAAAGCCCGCACCGCCGCCAGCCCGCCGCGGCCGGAAGTCGCTCTAGGCCCCACCTGGGCAACTTCCGGCGGCGCTCTAGACGCGGAGAGGAATCGGCTCCTCTCGGTAGTCCGGACATCCGGGCGGCGGCGGTCGGGACTCCGGGAAGGGCGCGGGGCGTGCGGCGGGCGTGGCCGCGCTCTGCGCGGAGAGGAACGCGGGCTCCGAAACTTCGGTGTGGCGCTCGCGGCGAGGCCCGGCTGCAGCCCAGCGCCAGCCCCTCAGGAGGCGGGGACCCGGGGGAAGTCAATACCGCGACAGCCCCACTTCGCCGCCCTCTGCGCCCCGGAGATGCGGGGAAGCGGCGCGCCGCGGGATTTTTTGGTTTCCGGGTTTTTTTGCAGGCGGTCTCGCTCCGTCGCCCCGGCCGCAGCGCGTGGCGCGATCTCGGCCCGCTGCAGCCTTGACCTCCCGGGCTCCGGCGGTCCCCCGTCTCGGGCCCCGAAAGTGCCGGGGCGCAGGCGGCGCCGTGGGTCGGCTCGCTGATTCCCGGTGGACAGTGCTCCTTGCTAGAGTGAGTCGTAGTAGTCCGAAATAATTACATCACCCTGCCACCCCCCCAAAAAAATGACATTCGTATTTTGAGTTTTGTTTTTCCAATTTTCTGCTAGCACTGAGGAAAATTTTTTACCTAGATAGATGGGATGGGGAGGAATTTTGTTCTTAGCAGTGACGCTCAATTTCTTTAGCTTCTTGTTTATATGCAAAAAATACACAGCAGGTTTTTTTTGTTTTTTTT